TGAGCTTTTTGCGAAGCTCTCCGTGTCAGCGGCTGCTCCAAATCAAATGTAGGATGTGGGCGCGGTCCGAAAGTGGGCGGGATCCGGAAGAACTCTGGACTGGATTCTTTTTAAAGCGCTTTTTTGCTCCAAACTTCACCGATAGATTAGTTAGGGGATCCTCCATCACAAGGTTGTAAAATTTCCTAACCACCAGTTTGAGGGGACGCTGTCTTTGAAGGCACCGTGTTAAATTTTCAACTTCCATGTTTCTGTTGATTTAAGACCTTCTGAAGGCTTCATGAAAAACAACTTCTTTTGAAGGGCATGTGCTCTTCAAAAAAGCTTAATTCAAAGAATAGGAAAATGTGGTTTTGTTTAGGTTAATAATAGTTTAACAAATACGTTCTCTGATAGGAGATCTCACTACAATGAACGTGTAAAAGGTCCGTGTGAGTCACAAGCTGATTGAACTTCGAAGCTCAGTGATCCATTTTTTCCCTTGAGCAGAACGCTAACAAAATATACTCGCAGTGGATGTTCTAAGAGATGCTGATAAATGTTTATTAATAAATACTCAATAGTGACTGACACAGTTTTATTGTTTGATTTCGGCCATGCCTGCGATAGCATTTCCAAGACCAAGGGAACCAACGATAATCTGCTCAGATTTCTCGTATTTAGCCATTCCAGCAATTTTCTGTGCAGCATTGACGGTGTACACATCTCTGGAGAAATTTCATCAGATCTCACCCATAGAATAATATGAAAATTCTCATACCTATTCACTGTCACACCGCAGACAGATTCAACTTGAGCGAATTGCTTCACACTGGGTGTGCTCCAGCCCCCGAATGCTCGGAAGTCATTGTAGTTAGGCGGGGACTCATTCGAGACACCGCTACCGTAGGTGTTCCAGTACCAGAGCATGGCATTATTGATGGTGGCTCCCCCGGTGATTTGGTTCCAGTCATAGATACTTGTGTAGATACCAATGGAAAGGCCGTATTGCTAAGAAGAACTGGCTTGATAACGAGGTTGATTCCTTGAACATGTGGAACATACGTTTGCTCTAGAGAGAATAGAGTTAAGGAAGTTGATATTGCTGGTGGAGCTAGAAAACCAGTTCACTGGTGAAGTGACCTACAAGGGTTTATTTATGGTTGTTAATTTGTAGCAGCAATATTCTTAGTCTTGCCTGGACCCAGACGGATCGCACATTGATGTTGGCATTCTTCAGTCCTCCGTACATTTCGTCAAATTGCTGACTCCCAGTCTTTACCGAGTTTGGTTGAGGCGTCATGTACACCTCGGTTCCAAGACCAGCTGAAATGAATTCTTTGCCCATGATTCAATAAGTGACATTGTGGTCAATTACCTG